GTCCAAACACGTGCAACCCCATCCGATCTGCCTTCGATCCATTCTTCTTCCCCTTGATTGGACCGCCGATGATGAACAATGTAATAAGGAGGGGCTCGCCAAAGATCGATTCCTACCCTCGTTCATAATCTCCAGCCACCGCCAGAACTTCCATCGACCGCAACTACTTCACCCTCCTTAATCTGTGGTTGCTAAAGATGAGATCAAGAAGGCCTAGGGCAGATCATCGAAGATTGATGCCACCTTACCTCGCGAGCTGCTTCTGCTTATTTGTCGACGAAAATCTCGTTGATTGTCCCCATCGATCGACTGATCCCTTAGCTCGATCTAATGAGCGGTTGAAGAGGAATGGGTACATTCAGATTCAGAAACTGATTTCAATTATTGATGGGGATCGGTGGAAGTGGTGAGGCGTTGTTGTAAATCGAGGTGGTGTACGTCGATGGAAGTTTTTTTATGGTGGAATAGGGTTTTTGATAGTGAACTAGCATAATTACTTTATTACACAATAATTAGTTTAAACACCTGAACTTAGCTCTCTCTATATATATATATATATATATATATATTAAGTGTTGATATTTGTAAGAACGAAGAACCATGACAATTAAAATTTCTATAAATATAAATATCTATCTTATCAGATGATTATTGTATATTTTTAAGCATAAATGTAGAGATATTTACAATAACAAATAATGTTTATTATATTTTTTTAACATTTTAATATTAAGAGTATTAGTGATGATAACATCATTTTTATGAATACATTAATTGATATTATCTTTTATACCTGTGAAACAAATATTATATTTAACTCATATTATACTCAAGCATTAGAAGCACGTTAGATGAGTGGTTATGTCATTTGATTTCAAACCAATAGGTGTTGATATCGGTTCATCTCCAAGATATCATTTGGGCTTTAATTTTTTTCAACTTTATAAGAGTATCCTCATCGCATTTGAGATAAAACATTCATCATTCTCATATTTCATATAAGAGAGTCAAGTCTATGGCTTTTAACCCACATCTTTGAGGAGTCGCACATTACTGGGGATGAAAAATTTGGCGCTCCTCATTTCTACATAAAGTTTCTCAAAAAATGATTAACACTTCTCATCCGAGTCGAAGTAACTCGTTGAGTTACCTGAGTTTTAATAAAAATGCAAAACAAAAACCAAATAAAAAAACTGACAAAAAACCGCAAAGAAAAACCAAACCGCAAAAAACCGAAAAAAACCGCAAAAACCGAACCGCATAAAAACCGAACGGTGCGGTTTCTGAATTTCAAAAAACCGAAGTTGCGGTTTTCGGTTCGGTTTTGGCCAAAAACCGCACCAAACCGCATCATGCTCACCCCTAATGTCACCTTCAACAATCAGAACCATTCATTGGATTTCTTTGATTGATTTCAACCCTTAGACCGTTCTTAATATTTATGGTGATGTCATCCTAACAAAACAATTCATTATTTATTGAACAAATACTAAATTCGAATTATGTCTGTATGTCATAACTACTTCCCATATTCAAATCGAAAAATAAGCCACCAAAGACGAGAACTTAACAAACATTTGTTATATGTAGGTGCTTGAAGACGAAGAAAGAAGAAGAAAGAAAAGAAATCCGGATTGTTATCGGTTGATAATAAATAGTGGTATAATATGGAAGCCCTAACACCCAACAATCTATGGATTTCAATTTCCTGTATTATAAGAAATCGTCTTAATTTCATTCTTCATATCAGTGGGTCGATTATTTGGTTGAATTTGAAAATACAAAAGCATCATCAACCTATTCATTTATCTAGACAAGGTTAGTAATTCCACTTTTTGATGTTTACAACATCAATTTTGTTTACTTTAGACTTGAACATGTGGTGTAGTTTCATGCCTTTCATTATGCCCACCGCATGTTCGATGTAATCAATGTGGTGTTGAAGTGTAATTATTCACGGGGCAATCAGATTTCCTATGCAACAATCTCATTTATAACAAAGTTTGAGTTTTTTGAGTGGTTATGGCATTCAGTAAATATACATGTAAGATATTTTGGGCTTCAACTTTTAATTTCAAGTTTTGTGCTCATGAGAAGCATCTAGATTTTTTATTTTTCTTCCTAAGGTTTTTACTGATCCATTTGTTTCGTAGGAGTGATCAAATTTCTTGCTTGGAGTTTTAAGTTTTTGGCATTGATAGACTTCATCAATCTCGATTGCTTCCTCACAAATTTTCATGCCAAAATGTTTTATTGATAGAAAACAATGGAAATAAGGGTTGTTATCAAAGCGGAAATAAAGGGTTCTTACAGCTTTTCTACAATGTAAGGGTTAATCCTGTCACTTTATGCAATTTAATATTTTTAATGTCATATTCTTCAATTTAATATTGTTTAATGTCACTTTATTACAAAAAATAATTTTCGAGAAAAAAACCTTATTTCATAAAGAATTTTTGGAATTTTTGCAGATTAAAACTACTCAGAAATGGATGTTGAAGTTGTTGTCGATGTCATTGTGTGTGATATATGTGGAGATGTAGGGCATGAACATTTACTTGCTATATGTAGTAGATGCATGGATGGCGCTGAACACACTTATTGTATGAAGAAAATGCCAAATGAAGTTCCCAAACATGGATGGTTATGTGAAGAGTGCAAAAATGGTGAGGGCTATGATCTTCCAAATCACAATGCAATTGTCCAAATGCAACATGTCCTGAGACAGTCCAATAAATCATCAAATGCAAAGAAAGTTGCAGAAAATGAATGTACAACAGAAATTTCAAATTTACAAGTGTTACAAGAAGTCACTATGCATGTAAATGAGGAAAGAGATAAAGGAGAATTAAATTGGTGGATGCAGTATGGCCGTTATATTCCTCTTAGGTAAATACAGAAAATAAGATGAAGACCTTTACACGAACATAACCAAAACATAATTTGATTTAGTGTCTTTTGTAGATGATTTTTAGTTTCATTTTGAACCTAAATAGTTTGATTTAGTGCCTATTGTATCATCATACTTTGATTTGGTTGCTTATTATATAAATTTTAAAATTTTTAGTTATTTTGTAACATTTTTAAGTTTTAGAAAAATCTTTAATATAATAAAATAATCCTTAATTTGCCACGTGCCCATTATACATCCATTTTTTGGAAAAACTCAAATTACTCTTATACCCCTACTTCCTTTTGCTATTTCCGTTCAATATGTATTTTTGTAACTGATATGCAATTATAATATAATTTTATTGCATATCTTATTGAACTAATCAGCATAAAAGTTCTTCAATTTCAACCTAAAAGACCTCTCAATACGAATCCCTACAAAAAAGGAATTGATAAGCTTTGAAATTCCTATAACCTTCAAATCTTATCTCAGAAACTATTAATTTCTAATTTCAAAAAATCTGACAGTTAATATTAACATATACAATTTCAACCATCATATCTTCTATTTTAAATTAGATTTCAATTGATTATCTTGCATATTATCATTATATTTACTTACGGTATAAATATTTCAGTTCTTTATAATAAACGATTACAAAGACTTTCTGTCACAAATCTTCCGCGGAAGACATAAGCAAAAAAAGATCATCCTTCTCATCACTCTGTTTTGTCGAATCCTTTTAATATGTGTATGATGCTTTTTTTCAAATTTATATGATTTTATTAATGTATATGTTTCTTGGTTGAATCGTTATAATATGGATGTCTGATTATGTATTCGATTTTTATGGGAGGTGATACTTCTACTTGGTTTTTTTATTTATCCACTTGATAAAATTTTCTTTTTCCTCTTTTACCCTTTAAAAATCACACTCATTAAAACCCGATCTCCAAACTTGATTTCACCCTTATTATTTTGTCTCCGTTTTTAATTTTGATAATAAAATCATAATTAAAATAATAATAATAATAATAAAAAGCGAAATTAGAAAATAAAACGAATTAAGGGTTATGTTAGGAACCAAAATCAAGATCGTTGGTTTCCAAATACAATGCATAAAAATCAAATTAAAAAACAGCTACAGCCTACAAAATCTAAATAAGGGGCGGTGAGTATTAAGGGCATAAAAGGAAAAAGAAACTATTATTAACCAAAAATGATAAAGTTTACAACTTAACCAAAAATGATAAAGTTATGGGATTTAGATGGGGGATAATTCAAATATAAAACTTATCCTATTCATTTATCTAGACTAATTCAAAATTTAAAAATCAAAATTCAAATAATGGATAAATTTTATCCCTTAGTAACAAACCAAAATAATCGGTATATATACATTACTGCCGCCAAACTCCCTCATATTTCTCAATCGACGTTAGCATTCAAGTAATAAAAAGGTATGTTGCTTTGTCTTTCATTTTGATTTTATGTCACTTATTCTGTTAGTTACATGTATTATTTGATTCATTCATTTTTCATGTTGTATTTTATTTGAAACTAATATTAACATACCCAACACCTACTTGCAATGTTTCAATTAAAATCACATAATATCCAAAAAAGATATTAATATTTTAATCTTGAAATCACGTAATCTTTAAGATATCACATAATTTAAAAAAATCGGTACATGCTGGTATATATATTTATACAAACGACAAACCTTTTATAATTTCTAAATGGTTTACATCTATTGCTTCTCAATTCGATCATCTACGTTGAACAAATGACAACATCAGGTAAACAATCTTACATTCGTGTTTGATGAAAAGAACTTGAAATTTTTTTTTTCACGTTAACTCTAAAAAATCAATTTGTAATGTTTATAGATATTTATCGATTTCAGTGTTTCTTCTTCACCTTTTAATAATAACAATAGTCATAAACTTTCTTTTATATATATTATGCAATATATATAAATGTTTTGGTAATTTTTTTAATACGTTTCCCCGTGTTAACGCGGGTTATAATCTAGTTATTATTATTACTAAGCTCGGGTCACGAATAACCGTCTGAGGATTTTGAGCCATCCGATCTTCTTCATATGCGATCCTCACTGCATAAACTCCCTATTTACGCTTTTCCATGGCAGTTCATCGTTGCCCCACGTTCTCAACCATCGCCGAATCGCCGATTGTCCCCTCCAACAAGCATTCAATCGGTTAATCAACCTCCTTCAAAGAGTGATTCGGTTATGGCTTCAACCTCCTCCCATTACGTCTTTAACCCCCACTTCTCCATAATCCCTAAACATCAGGTAATTGTAGCTAACTGTCCACGATGCCCAGTACGTCTTCAACCTCCAACTTCTCTTCCATGTTTCCTTCTAGAAACTCCACTTTCTCCCTAGGACGTTCGTCGTCTTTCATAGATAACCTCCTTGCCCTCCGACTTCAATTGCCCACCTCCATAAGCCCTAAACATCAGGTAGTTGTAGTAACTGCTCTGCCTATATAAGAGGTCGCTTCTTTGAATGTATTCACTATTCCATCACTTGAAATCTATCTATTGGTTGATCAATCATGGACGAGAATTTGGCTTTTCCGTTAGAAGAAATTTCACCGAAGGTAAAATTTCTTGAATAGATGTTTGGATTTAGATTCCCGTGTTTGGAAAATTATACTTTTTTTCTGCTTAATTGTAACTATCTCAATTCAAAATTGATTAAATCGTTGGTTTTATTATATTGTTCAATCTAACTATCGTTTATTATTGGCCATTTGCTATGTTTTTTGATATATGATTTTAATTTCTTATCGTTGCATAATGAAGAACACTGAAGTCGTTCATGAAATTGCCGACATTCAAACAATATCAACCAAATCCATTGATTCTGAAAGTGACTCTACTGAGATTTCACCGAAGGTAAAATTTCTTGAATAGATGTTTGGATTTAGATTTCCGTGGTTGGAAAATTATACTTTTTTTACTGCTTAATTGTAGTTATCTCAATTCAAAATTGATTAAATCGTTGATTTTATTATATTGTTCAATCTAACTATAGTTTATTTTTTGCCATTTGCTATGTTTTTTGATATATGATTTTAATTTATTATCGTTGCATAATGAAGAACACTGAAGGCGTTCATGAAATTGCCGACCTTCAAACAATATCAGCCAAATCGATTGATTCTGAAAGTGACTCTACTGAGATAATTGAGTATTCTCCTTACTTCAATCCTTATAAATCCATTTTGGAAAGGGTTATTTCGGAAGAGGTAAAAATTGCTCGACTTTTCATCAATTGTTAATAGTTTATGATGTTTTATTTTTTGTTTCAGGTTTCTGAAATTGCTAAAGAAGATCAACAATTCGAAAGGAAAAGAAAAAGGGTTTTAGCTCTAACACAGTGGAAGTGGGATGAAGTTGTGGACCTCTGTTCAGATGATGATGAGGAAGAGGATGTCATACAACCAAAAAAGAAAGTCAGGGTTTGCATTCACAATCGGAATCGACCCATGAAACTCCTTGATGAGTCGGATGTGGAGGTTTGATGTTTCTATAAGTTGGTTTTAATATGTTTGTGTTAACTTTGTTGACTTTAGGATGCTTTGTTTTCAGTATTATGTTTAGTTGTTGTTTTCACTCTATGTTTCAAACCTTATGCTTTAGAATATAATTTAGGTTTTTATAATTTGTTTTACAATCATCTTTTTGTCTATTAAATGATCTTAATTGTTTCATATATTTTAATGTTAACAAAAAATTGCTTATTTTTTGTTTCCAAAGATGTAAATGTTGTTTCTATTCACTTTACTTATTTTTGCCATTTGAGATTTCAACAGTTATATTTAAGTTTTGTTTTTTATATAGCTTTTGGAGTTTTTGTAATTGTCAGGTTGCTGGAGGTCCACTCCTGATATAAAAATGGTTAGCAAAACAAGCATTTAACACATCCCAAGCATACAAGTACTTTGTCTTCAAAGCTCAAAAGATAGATGATTCTCACGGTTATCAAGTTATAAATTGGTGTGACAGTATTCCCTCCCTTTCTTACAATCTTGTCTCTTATTAAACCAATAAAAAATGGTAAGGAAAATTTTCTTAATGGCAATGCTTCGGTGGTTAGGTCATTTTTCACTGTAGGTTATGTTGTAATGCAAGGATTCAGTCGGTGAAATCTTGATTTTGATGCAGATAGTGAGCAGGGTGACAGGTATGTATGAGTTTATACACTTGATTGTAATTTGAGAATGATATGACATTGAATCTGGAAGCAAGGGCATAAGTTCCAAGTATGACCTATGTTTAATCTAGAAATTTTTTCATATTATGGGGTTTAAATGATTAAATAGGTTATGTTATTGTTTAGAAACTAGTTGCCCTATTTCCATATATATTATAGGTATTCTTCATCACTAATTTTGAGACAGGCAATCAAGGAGGAGGTAGATACAAGGTTGACATTTGTTGGCAATGTAAGCAGCAAAATAATATTTTATCCGATTTCTGTTTTTTACATTTTCTAAACCCACAAACATTAGTATGGGAGAAAGAGAAGTACTAAGTACACTTCTTGATGAGGGCGTTTTTGTCTTTTTTACAAATACCTTTCTAAGTGGGACAAATATCCAAATTTTGTTCCATTGACAAATAGGTTCCGAAGTAAATACACATTATTTAGGACAGTTTTACCCTTTTCCTTTTTCACAAATAACTTCTTGAGTGAGTCAAAGAAACCAACATTTAGATCATTGGTAAATTGTTTCTTAATGAAGTTCGGTTTTTTTTTTCTTTTTTACTTATAGCTTTGACATTTGGACAAAATCCAAGTTTTTATATATCGTAAGAGTACAATCTTCTTTGCTAAATTCAGAGCACATTTGTTTAAATCCATGTCAAGTTATTACTTTGATATAAGATAATACAAGTTTAAAAGAAGTATTATGTGGAAATAGATATTTTGTTTTTACTTTGATATAAGATAATACAAGTTTAAAAGAAATATTATGTGGAAATAGATATTTTGTTTTTGACCGTAAATTTTTATATTTATATATAAATACCTTTCAAATATTTTTTTTATCTCATACATAATCTTAAAATTAAATTATTTATATTTTATAAGTTATGATTTGAGTTTTTTATTATATTTTAAAGTTATATTTTTTGTTTCGTATATAATTTTTTATAGATTTTTTTATTAATGTTTTTAAGATATATTTTTGAGAGAACTCATCTCTAAAATTACATCATATTACTCCAAAACATGCTACATGCATATTTATAAACAATATTTTACATTGATAGTTTAATTACAAAAGACTGGATACAAACCGACCGAGTTTTAGTATATTACATAACTACCCAGGAAATTATAATTTTATACATACACGATCACTAAAAACAAAAGTAATATTATTAAATATTCTAAATCTTCCAACAGTATATGTCTATACCGGATCCTTATTACCTGCAATAGTTAAACATTGAGAGGGATAAGCAGTGACGCTTAGTGAGTTCAAAAATATATACAATATAACGTTATGCCATATATATACCAATATGACAGAAGCAAAAAGGAACAAAGAACAACAAAGGCAGATGAATATCATATGTCATGCTTTCCATATCAACAAATAATTTGATTCGAAGATCTACAATCAATGAGATACGACAATTTCAACTTGATATACATCAATAAGACTTTAGCCCAAGTGGCACAGAAAATAAACATTTTGCTAGAATTTACAGGCTTTCAGCCCTATCCAGCATTCTGCCAGTGCCAAAGTGATGCTTACTCATACACTTCATGGTCAAAGGCTACATACCAGTACCCAAGTGATGCTTAGTCATTCACTTCAAGTCAAAGGTATAACACATTTTCATAAAAACACGGGAAAGCATATTGAACATATAACACATAACATACAATTGTTCCTATAATTTGAACTCACCGTGAAATAACCGAGGGTTAAAATAGTAATTTGAGCAGCACTTCGTTTCTATAATTAACTTTCTTCGATGAAAACCGGGAGCTTTATTGAAAACCGGGAGTTTTTATTGAAAATCGGGCCTTGCGAAGGTTAAACTTCAAACCGAAAATATAAATTTCTCGAGGTCTTCGGGCACTTCGGGACGTTTTTCAGGTGTTAGATATGATCTCGGGGCTTCGGGGGTTGTAAAATAGCTAAAAAGAGGGTCTAATGTGTAAAAAGTATGAATTTTCCAACCAAAACCGGGAGGATTCGCACCTCCCTTTATATAGGTGCGAGGGTTCGGCCGAAGGGGAGAAGGAAGAAACACGCGTCGCATGCGAGGGGGAGCCAGGCGTCGAATACGAGGCGAGGGCAGGTGGCGGTCTCGGACTGGGTCGTGCCTTCGGTTGCGAGGTTCAGCGACACACGTCGGACTCGGTGGCAGCTGGCTTCTGATGACTCATCAAGTCGGAAACGGGGCAGGCTCGTGAGGCCGAGACCGAGACACGTGTCAGGCATGCGAGATTTCTCGGATTTTGTGCCCAATTCTTAAAAAATTCATAACTTTCGCATACGAGCTCCGTTTTCGACGTTCTTTATATGCACGCGTAGGCGATATTATACTCTATTACTTTCCTTTAGACTCCGTCGGCTAATTTTGACTTTATTTTTAATATTATTATTTTTAACAGACCGGGACAGGAAAATTCGTTAAAAATTCATAACTTCTTCATCTGACGTCCGTTTTCATTTGTCTTTTTACCGTTGTACTGCTATTGACGAGACCTTCGATTATCGTTTAGGTTGTGTCGGCTAAAAATCACTCGATCTTTATTTCGAGTTTTTAATTGTATACTGCTATACTGAAACTTAGAAAAATCATAACTTCCTCATACGAAGTCAGATTTAGACGTTCTTTTTATGAAAATTATCGGTTTAACGAATACACGAATTTCATTTAGATCACTAAGGCTAAAAAGTAGTTTATCGAAAACTCACTTTTTACGCTAAATAGTGTTTGCCGGTTTTGTCGCGGATCTTCGGTTGATCAAAACTTCTTCGTTATAACTCGGATTTCGATGAGGTTTTCGCCTAAACGTTTCTAACGTAATTATCTACAACTTTCAATAACATTATTTTTATTTATTTCCAACTTTATATTTTCGTTAATTTCGATATTGACTTTTAATTTGGAATCTCATAAGACTTCCAATATTTTCCGAGTGATTCTAAACATAGTTTACTTCAAATCTCGTAAAAACTATCTTGTTAGAACTCAACATTCAAAACCATATAATATTATTCATTATATTATTTACTTTTAAAAGTTACAAAACATGATAACTGAACGTGTATGTTACAAATACCTCCTTCTTTTGAGGATTTCGTCCCCGAAATTACATCGATTTAAATAAATGGGGATATTTCGCTCTTATCTCATTCTTATTTTCCCAAGTATAATTTGGGCCTCGATGGTGTTTCCATTTGACAAGCACCAACTCCACTTCTTTATTACGCAATTCAGTCGTTCTTTCGTTTACGATTTCTTCAGGTTCTTCTACATATCTTAATTTATTATCCAGTTTCACCTCGGATAACGGAACCATTTCATTATAAATGCTCAAACATTTACGCAGATAACTCACATGAAACACATCATGAATACTTGCCAAATCTTTGGGTACTTCCAAGCGGTATGCTTGCTTACCAATTCTCTAGATGATTTTGTAAGGACCAACAAATCTAGGACTCAGTTTTCCTTTCTTCCCAAATCGCATAAGGCCTTTCCATGGGGATACTTTTAGCATTACAAAATCACCCACCTAGAATTCTATGGGTCGTCTCCTCTTTTCTGCATAGGACTTCTGTCGATCCTGGGCCGCTTTCATTCTTTCTCCTACAATTTGAATCTTATCAGTGGTATCTTGAATCATTTCAGGGCCTCCAATGATTTTTTGTCCTACATCACGCCAACATAATGGCGTACGACATTTACGACCATATAATGCTTCATATGGTGGCATTTTGATTGAAGTGTGGTAACTGTTATTATATGAAAATTCGACAAAAGGTAAATATTTATCCCAATTACCACCGAACTCCAAGACACATCCACGAAGCATATCTTCTACTGTTTGGATTGTTCTCTCCGTTTGACCATTTGTCTGGGGATGATAAGTTGTGCTGAGAGCAACTGAAGATCCCAATTCACGTTTCATACTCGCCCAAAAGTGAGAAGTGAAGCGAGTATCACGATCGGAAATAATCTTTAGTGGCACACCATGTCTCGCAACAATTTCATCCAAGTATACTTGTGCGTATTTCTCCATTGGAGCCGTTTCACGCATGGCGAGAAAATGGGCGCTTTTAGTTAGGCGGTCGACAATTACCCAAATGCTATCATGATGTCTAGCAGTCTTTGGCAATTTGGTAATAAAATCCATGGACAGCTCTTCCCATTTCCACACAGGAACACTAAGACTTTCTGGAGTTCAGTAAGGCTTTTGGTGCTCTGTTTTGACTTGTAAGCATACTAAGTATTCTTGCACATATCTTCCAATCTCTCTCTTTAATCC